CCTGGGCGGTCCAGGTCCACTCGAGCCAGAAGGGCACGGCGACCCAGACGGCGAGCCAGCCGACCTGGTAGAGGCTCTGGATGGCCATGCCGCCCGTCTTCCAGGTGAGGGGCCCGTTGGCGGGGGCGGCGCGAAAGACGCGGTGCATCAGCACGGAGACGGCGGTCGTGGCGACCATGAGAAAGTCGGCAATGGCGAGGTGCCATGTCTTGATGGTGAAGAGATACCAGATCTGGACGCGCATAGGGTGGCCAGTGTCCTTGATGTTGCGCAGCATTGTGGTGATGGCCATGATGGCCAGGCCGATCCAGAAGAGGTTGAAGAAGCCATGGAAGTCGCGGTAGTCGGAGTTGGGGTCAAAGTGAGAGACGCGGCTGGCATACTCGATGGTCGGGAAAATGCGACGGCGCTGCTCGGCACGGGCAGACCTCTTCGCGGAGGAGATGGACTTGACGGAGGGGGGCGCATCCGCGGGGACGGGCGTGGAGCGACCGCTGCAGACGTTAGCGGGAGCACGATGGGGAGAGGCAGGTCTGTGTCTGTAGGGTGACGGGCCAGGAGACGCACCTAGTCATGCCACTCTCGGCGAGGGCGCTCCTGTAACTGCTGGCATCGCCAGTGGAAGACGTCTCAGAGACGTTGCTGACGGTGCTCAGTTGCGAGTGGACCGCCTTCCTCGGGCGCGGACGCAGGATGTGCTCGTGGACAGGGGTATTGGTATGGCCGTTTGTGTGCGTGTCGGTGGCCGTTGAAGCCATGGTCATCGATATGAAGGGGCTCAGAGAGGTAATTGGTGTATTGTTGTGAGGCCTCGTCGTCGTGACGTGGTTCGGGTGGTGGTTGATGTCAAGACGTCGTCGAATGGAGCGAGGGGAGGCGTGCTTCCATCTGTTCTATGGCGGGCGGCTTCGTAGAAAAACAAAGGAGGGGGTTGAGGTCAGGAGAAGGTCGAAGAATCGAAGCAGCGGAGAGGAGAAAGACGTGGGTTCAGAGTGGAGGAAACAAGACGGAACATGTGTCGAGTTCTGGAGATGGGTCGTCTACGGGGTCGTCGCGCAGACGATATGGCGACAAGTGGAGATGATGCGACAGCGAGGCAGTCGTTTGAATCGTTTGAGTCGGGTTCGTTGTTTTATTAATACGAAGGGAGGAAGACCCCGGCATTCGTAAGACGCAAGAAAGGGAATCGAAATAATGAAGAAGAGGACCCGAAGTAAAGAGGATCCGAAGTCCGAGAGGTGGTATCAAGGGGACGATGACAGAACGCAAAGAAGCCTGTGGGTTGATGCCGTTGCGCTGAGCCTGGATGCTCGGGTGCTCGGGTTTTTGGGGGGCCTCGGGGGGGTTCTTGGAACACCTGGGGGGGGGCACATCCCTTAGGCCCCTCGACCCTGAAGCAAGCTCCACCCAGTGCTACGTCACTCCTTCCCTACCTAGGTAGGTAGATAGGTAGGTACGACGAAGGGACCGGATTATCTGAGCTTGGCGAGGAGGTATCTTGTACATTTCTCTGTCCTTCCTGCCACAACCGTGCCGCTGCCTAATGGAGGCCATCGCCATCTCTCCAGAGACATCAATCTCTCCAGAGACATCAATCTCTCCAGAGACATCAACACGTTCGCCATCCATGGTCTCCTCTCCTCCTGCATTCTGCTCTGCATCATGATCGCGTGCGCCGTCTCCGTGTTCCGAGAAGCCCGGCTGCGATGCAAGGAGCTTGTCTATTTTATCGACCCCCAGCAAACCGAGAGTGCCGGCATCCACCACGAGGCTTCCCTCCACTCACAAGACAGCCAGAGTCAGCCACCCCTTAGAGCCGACATGGCCGCGGCAGTATTGTTGCGAGGTTGGTACATGGTAGCACTCAGCCCTACCCCGACCTGCCTGACGTCAAGGGAACCGCCAAATCCGGCTCTTCTGTCACCATTGTTTGCGCCGCCGAATCCGCCCGTTGGCGATCCGACGCAGCGTGTGACCCTCTTTGGGCCTCGCATCAACTCGAACCGTCGCCGATCGCCTCACTCTGTGTCCGGTGCCACGTGCCAAGGGCGATGATCAAGGATGGTCTCGACCGACAACTGCACGAATCGCCATGAACCTGGAAAACCCGCCGGAGCTTCCGCACCGTTCGACGGATGATACCGCACTGAGACGGCTTTTGCTGGTGCAAGGTGCCCCCCCCCTCCCCCTCCTCCGGCTTGCCCGCCAATTCCCGAGCATGATGCATAATCAGACGGCAAGATACACTTGTAATGGCATTTCGGCGCCGAAGGTGTTGGGAGCTGCTGCGACGAAAACGAAAACTCGCGACAAAAACCCCCCCCACGTCCGAATACACCCCATGTTTCCCCAGTGACCTCCCCAGTGACCTCCCCAGTGCCTCAACATGTCGACAGCCGACAACCTTCACCTCGGATCACCTTCCGGCCTCCGCCCTCCACCTCACTTCCATCGTAAGCCTCTCCGTCGACCGTCACCTTGACGCAATGCCACGGCAGCACAATCTCACCCCGCGTCTTCTCTGGTGTCACAAGCTCAATGGCCACCTTCCGGCCACCACCCTCACCCTCGATTTCAATGACAGCCTCCCAGTCGCCCACGGGACTCGTCCATCCACTGCGGAGGCTTGTCAGATCGCCTGGCAGCGGCTTGAACACCCATCGCCCCCAGCTGACCACCTCGAGCCCCACAGCCTTGAAGCTCAGCGCCTGCGTTGGTCCTGTCGACCACGAGTGGCTGAGGGAGGTGTACGCCGCGTCGTATCGATAGCTGCGCTGCGATCGGTAGTAGAGAGACCCGTTGGCCGACAGGCCCTCGATCAGCGTTGTCCCCGTCATGAGCGGCGAGTCCAGCATGTATCCCCACATGCGTCGGACCAGCTTGAGGCCCGTCGCCGCTTTACCAGCTGTGAAGTGCGCCAGCACCTCGATCGATGAGATGAACGACGAGATGGTATCCGGCAGCTCCGGCGTCAGCGGCCCAATGGCGTTCCATCTCTTTGCCAGAGCATGCGAGATGGCCGCCTGCTGGGACGAGGATAGTGTGAGGTTGTAGTAGACGGCAAGCGCGTTGCCGTCTTGTGGAAAGAGAAGGGCGCCGCGGTCCGTCTCGTTGTCGCGGTACAGGGACTGCTCGTCGTCCCACAGCACCTCGTTGAAGGCTTCCTTCAGCTTGGCCGCCGCCGCCGCCCATTTCTTCGCCTGCTCGGCGCGGCCGTTGTCCCTGGTCGTCGTGTCGGCCGCAAGAGAGGCCAGCGCGAACAGGGCGTGGTAGTCGAGGGCGTTGAGGGCCGAGTTGTAGCCTCCACCCCCAAGACGCGCCCAGTCGTTCGGGAAAGCTTGGTTCGCCAAGCCGACTTTGTTGTCCACGGCTCGGTAGATGTACTCGAGTCCCGCCGTGATGTTGCCCCATGATCTGTCGACCCACTCGGCGTCGCCCGTGAAGATGGCATAGTTGTAGCAGGCGATCATGGTCCACGCGTGGTACGTGTCACTCAGCGCCCCGTTCCGCCACGAGCCCGTCGTCGGTCCCGCAAACGGCGTCTGGCCCGTCGTCTTGTTCTGGTAGAAGAACATGGTCTCAATGGCGTAGTAGATGCTCTCGAGGCCCGCGGCGCCGAGACCGAGGTACGCCGTCGTGCCGGCAACGCCGAGGTCGCCTGGCCACACGGCGCGATCGCGCTTGGCACCATCGAGCATCATGGGCCCCTCGACGCCGAGCGAGGCATTGTACGCCCACCCGTCCTTGACCTGCGGCAGGAAGCGCGACGTGAAGGGCGGCCCGATGTTCGTCTGCGCCGTGAAGACGCCGGCGTACCACGCCCGCACCAGGGTGTCATCCTGCGGCGCCCAAAAGTACCCGTCGTACTTGCTCGGGTCCTGCTGCGACGGCGAGTAACCAAGGTGGCAGACAATATCGGAGATGGTGACGGCCTCGTAGGCGACAATGGTGACGTACTTGAAGCCGCCGCGGAAGCGCTCAGTAGGCATCTCGTAGGCCGTGGTGCCCGCGGCGACGGTGACGTTGAGCTGCTTGTCGTAGTCCTGGGTGTGCACGGCGCCCGTGTCGTCGGAGATGGCCCGCACAAAGGCCGGCGACTCGGCGAAGGCGAGGGAGAACTGCTGCGTCGTCGCCTTGGTGTCGGCTGTCAGCGACAGGAGGCCGCCCACGTAGCCAAAGTCGAGCGTGATCTGGGCGCCGGGGTTCATGGTCAAGATGTAGCTTGGTTCTGTGGCCTCCTCGTCGTCGTCACCCTCTCCTGCCGACGAGAGCGTGACAAGCGCATCGCCTTTGATGGCGTAGATGCTCTTGGGCGAGATGGTGCGCGAGGTTGGGGATTGGATGTACCGTTCCCACGGTTTGGCGGTGCCATCGTCGCGGGCGGCGAGGAGGGCCGTCGAGGGGTCCAGCGCGAGGGCGAGGATCGCCCAGCGGAGGAGGGACGCCATGGTGCGACGCTGGCTCGGTGTCTCGAGACGTTGTTGGGTGCACCTTGGGGGAAGGAAAGAAGGGAGGAGGAGGAGGAGGAGGAGAGAAGAGGAGCAGAGAAAAGGTGTGCCCTTGCTTGCACCAGCTCAGAACGCCATGGACACCCCGTCTTTAAGGGCCCCTAGTTTATCTTGTGCATACGATGCGCCCTCGAGAGGCGTGCCCAGACCTACCCGACGAGATCGCCAGTGCCACCTCCCCCAAACAAGCTGTTTTCCGAGCCGACCACGGGGACCAGGCTTTCTTCGTGGCTCGCGCATGACAGGCCATGGACGGGGGTTGGTGCTGCTGCTGCTGCT